CTCCCTGAGCTAGATGCAACCTACAGCCTTTCACAGCAATTGGTTTCTAGTCCTGTCTCCATTTAGGGAAGGGACTGAATGAGAAGCAATTTGCCCAAAGTCATGTATCCTTTTTTTTTTTTTTTTTCAGTGTTTCACTCTTGTTGGCCAGGCTGGAGTGCAATGGCATGATCTCGGCTCACCGCAACCTTGCCTCCCTGGTTCAAGCGATTCTCCTGCCTCAGCCTCCCAAGTAGCTGGGATTACAGGCATATACCACCATGCCCGGCTAATTTTGTATTTTTAGTAGAGACAGGGTTTATCCATGTTGATCAGGCTGGTCTTGAACTCCCTACCTCAGGTAATCCTCCCACCTCCTCCCAAAGTACTGGGATTACAGGCGTGAGCCACCGCGCCTGGCAAGGTCATGTATCTCAAGTGCCAGAGAACCTAGGTCTCCTGCCTCCTAGGGCAGGACCTTTGTACTGCACCTTAGAGTCAGATCCAAGAAGATAAAAGGAGAGACAAATGCGGGGTGGGGTGGGGTGAGTGAAGAACTATGAAGCAAGAGTCATTGTCTCTGCCCCCTAAACCCCTTCTCCATTCACTTTGCCTTTGGGCAATTTCCGCCAGAACCTGGGTGGAGGAGGGTGGGGTTCCGGTGTTGAAATGGCATCCTGGACAGACATAAACACCCCACCCACTCTGCCCACTGGCAGAGTTGCCTACACCAACTCCCATCTCTGGGGATGGCAATAAAACAAGGGGATGGAGGCAAGAGCTAGGGGAGATACTCTTTTAAAAGCATCATTTGTAGTTCCTACTAATTTTGTGGTAAGTTGAAGAGAAGATTCCAAATTAAATTGCTGTGCTGGGCCATCCTTGGGGTAAGTGGTCTAAGGTCATGCAATTTGAGATCATACAATCCTATCCTCTGTCCTTCTTTTTCTTTTCTTTTTTTTTGAGACAGAGTCTCGCTCTGTCGCCCAGGCTGGAGTGCAGTGGTGCGATCTCAGCTCACTGCAACCTCCACCTCCCGTGTTCCAGCAATTCTCCTTGTCTCAGCCTCCCAAGTAACTGGGATTACAGATGCCCACCAACATGCCTGACCAATATTTGTATTTTTAGGAGAGACAGGGTTTCACCATGTTGGCCAGGCTTGTCTCAAACTCCTGACCTCAGGTGATCCACCTGCCTCGGCCTCCCAAAGTGCTAGGATTAGAGGTGTGAGCCACCGCACCCGGCCTTTACCGCCTTCTTTTATCTTTCTTTTTTTTTTTTTGAAGACAGGGTTCTATGCTCTGTTCACCCAGGCATCGGAGATGTAGGTGGCACATATGGCATCAACTGCAGCCTTGACTTTCAGGTCGAGTAGTCCTCCCACCTCAGTCCTTCTGATTATAGCTGGAGAACCCAACAGACGTGTGCCACTTCAAATGCCTAGCTAATTTCCCTGCGATTTTTAGTGGAGAATGGGTTTCTGCCCCATGGCTTTTCTCAGGGCTGATCTCAAACCCCTGGCCTCAAGCGACTCTCCCACCTTGGCATCCAAAGTGCTCCTCTCCACGTTTCCTTCCATCCTAACGCCTGCTCCTTTACGTAAATTTTACTAATATGGCAGGGTATGTCTTGTGTGCGTGCACATACCACACAAATGTTGTGACCGTAGAGATCAGGAAAAATCCTTGCCAAATCCTACTTTGGAGTCTCTCTGCTGACGGCAGGGAAAATAGACTTGGCCAAAAGGAAGGTGGGTTGTCCAGGGAAATAGGGAGGTTAGCAAGAGAGAGGGACTCGACAGAGAAGAAGACTAAGGAACACGGGTGAGGTTTGCCTGACGAAATTCCTAAAGCTATCCAAGCAGACAGGGACCTCCAAGGCCAATTTTGTCCTAACTCCCCACTGGTTTTAACAAATGAGAAACACAGAGGCCAGAGAAAAAGTGAGCATGGCCTGCGCCTTCAACCAGTCACACCTGCTGCCTTGCTGGCAAGAAGCTGCAACTAGAACCCAGGTCCAAAGAAACAAGGGACCTGGGATGGCAGTGTGTATTCAAGGCTCTAGAGGCGACGCATTGCCTAGCAACCGGGAAGAAAGAGCAGAGCTGACCACTCCCACAAGAAAGGAACTGATCGACTCTACCGATTCTCCAATACTCAGGCTCTGCGCAGTATGAAGATACAGGCACGGAGGGAACAGATGCCCTAGACAGAAATTATAAGTCAATTGGAGTCCAGGTTTACAACCCCCTCATCCTGTATTGTTATCAGTTTCAGTCTCACCTTCCTGGAATGTACCCATTAAGAACCCTTTGTGAAAACCACGTCCTTTTTCCTCTCTTTTGAGACCAGAAATTAACTCTGTCACCGCCACAGCGCGCTGGAGTCCAATGCGCACGATCTCAGCTCACCCTGCACACCTCCACCTCACTGGGTTTCTCAATGTGGAATTCTCCTGCCTCAGCCCTCCTAAAGTAGCGCTGGGACTCACAACCATGTTAACCATGTCACCACCCACCTAACTATTTTGTATTTTAGTAGAGACGGGGTTTCATCACCATGTTGCCAGCTGGGAACCCTCGAACTCCCTGACCTCAGGTGATCGCCTGCCTTCGCCTCCCAAAGGCTGGGATTTAGAGGCCTGAGCCACTGCCACTGGTGAAACCAATCCTTATAAACTAAAAGCTTTTACAACATCAAGCTTAGTCTTAAACCAAGTGCTTACTAAGTCCCTTTTACTAGGTTGTTGTTTTACCTCAGAAGGAGGAAAGACTTCTGGGTTTGTATGGGGTTTAAGGTATGGCCCAAATGACCCTGTGAAGGACACAGGACACCGCAGCGGTCCAGTTGTCCTCCAGAGGCCCATTCCTTCTGTGCCTCTGGGCCTCAGCTGATAAACTCCTTATCTTGCCCACGGCACGGAAGCCAGGGCCAGCATACGGAGGAGACGGGCAGAGCTGCCTATCAGCCCACCAGCCTCGGCCATATCTTCGAGAGGGGACGGCGGCTGTCTGCTTGGCCTCTTTCCAACCAACATGCTCCTGGGGATCTCTGAAGCATATACTTCATCATCTTGAAAGAAAAAGGGCTGAAAACTTAACTGAGACCAGAGAGGGAAAAGCCAGGGTGACCCCCTGATGTTGCCCTCACACAAACAGCAAAAAAAAAAATAACAGGCAAAACAGAGAGAAACAGAAGATCTGACTCTCGCCTTACCCAGGTAAAGACATGTTTGAGGGAGTGAAAAAGTAGGCGGGAAAGAGTTGGGCAATTTGCCCTGGACAAAAAGGTAAAAGACCTTTCTGTGCAACCAAAGGGAACTGACTGTGCCCCATAAGTTGGCGAGTGGAGAATCACTACCACAGAAAAAAGATTTCCGTTCTTAAAAGGATTGGTTGATGAGTTCCCAGCCATGAGTGAGGGATGGGGAGAGGCATGTCTAATCCTTTCAGGGGAGCTGGAGGGAGCCCCTCCAAAAGGAGGTAGTCGCAAACTTGCTGATCCCTAGCAAGGTGTAGCCTCCTAAACACC